ACAGAGAGAGATAGAGCATGACCGGGGGAGGGGCAGAGAGAGAGGGAGACACAGAATCCAAAGCACCATCTGTCAGCACAGAGCCCGACGCGGGGCTTGAACCCACAAACTGTGAGATCATGACCTGAGCTGAAGTTGTACACTTAACCAGCTGAGCCACCCAGGTGCTCCAGAAGTTTGTTTGTTTGTTTGTTTGTTTGTTTATTTATTTATTTATTTAGAGAGCACGAGAGAGTGCATGCGCACTCGAGTGGGGGGTGAGGCAGAGAAATAGGGAGAGAGAGAGAGTCCCAAGCAGCCTCCACGCTGAGCTGGACGCGGGGCTCAATCTTGTGACCGCAAGATCATGACCTGAACCAAAATCAAGAGTTGAACGTTTGACTGAGCCACCCAAGCACCCCAGTGTCCACTACTTCTATATCTGCACATCTTTGTTTCTCCCGCTCATTCAATCTTTCTCTCCTCTCCACCCCACTCAGTATCTCTTTCACCTGTTATTTTTCCTCTTCTTGTCCTTGCATGAAAGGGAACTAGAAAGAGGCTTTGCATTCAGCCTTGGGCTCAAGTTGCAGCTTGGTTGTTGACTGGCTGTGTGACCTTCAGCAGAGTACTCACTTCATTGGCCCTTCACTTCCTCATCTAGTAAAGAGGTGAAATACCACCTACCCCCTGGACTGTAGTCCAGATTAAACAGGAGGATAAAGTCCCTGGCATACAGCAGGCACTCAGTAACCCTTATCCTTAAGCACTCCCTTAGCAGTTTGTCACCAAGCAGTTCCCTCTCCTTTTAATGGTGCACCTCTTTACCAATTACCTGCTTGTAGACCACAAGCCATTTGCTGTCCCTCTTCCTAGCCCCCAGTACAACGTGTAAGAGACAGGCAGAGCTGGCCAAATGCATGTGCCCTGCCCGTTGTGGCTCTGTGAGGCAAAGACATACACCTGCCCGTGAGAAGCAAGGAGGCTCAGATGGACGACTTCTCTACCTCCCCTCAAAAAGGGCAACAACTACCATAATCTCCCTCCAGAGATCACCTATACTTTTGTCATGACCAATGCAGGGCAAGATGGATGGGAGTCAAAATGAAATGAAAGAGATTCTGACTAATTTCTTAAAGAACTGATCCTAAAACAAGGCAATTTCCAGTGAAGAGCCAATAATATTCATGGATGTCCAACAAAATGTTAACAGTTGATAAATCTAGGTACAGAGTATATTGGCGTTTACCATACAACTCCTTCAGATGTTCTGTGTTTATGAAATTTTTCATAAAAATGTTAGAGGAAAAGAAGATAAGCATGAAAAGATTAAAAAAATAAACCATGCGACAATGTGAATATAGGTAATACCACTGAAATGTACTTTTTAAAATGGTACAGAGTCAATTTTATGTGTTTCTTTCACCACAATTATAAGTAGGTAAATAAATAAATCACAGATGTCTAAGCCTTAGAGTCTGTGGTATCTGGCAATATTTTTTTCAAGGCTCTCCTGGTGATTTAGAGGCCCTCCCAGGGAAGCCTATTGTAAAGCACCCAGAAGGTGACCAGCAGCGACCAAAGCCTTCTCAGCCACTCCCAGGCCCGTGCATCCCGTCCACACTAACCTCAGCAGGTCATGCTTTTTGGTGCGGTTGTGGGCACTGAGCGCCTTCAGCTCGGCCTGCCGTTTGCGCAGCTCTGCGAGGACCTCATCTTCCGAGTCCTCTGCGGGGCGGTCCTCAGACTCCAGCAGACCCTGGGCGATCAGCTCCTCCTTGATGCGGCTCTCCAGGGACTTGGTATGTGGTACACTACAGGAAGGTAGCGCTTAGCTCAAGGGTCAGCTTAGAGGGGGGACCCGAAAGGTTCCCAAGGCTAGTGACACATTCCTTTCTCTTTGGGCACTCCCTATCTATCTAGGTATAAAAATATAGAGAAAATATTACGAGCTGGAACCCTGAAACTCCTAGAAAACCTAGGAGTAAAGCTCCTTGACATGGGTCTTGGCAATGACTTTTTGGCTGTGACACCTAAAGCACAGGCAATAAAATAAAAAACAAGTGGGACTACATCAAACTACAAATTGCTTCTGCACAGCAAAAGAAATCATCAACAAAGTGAAGAGACAACTTATGGAACAGGAAAAGATATTGTAAACCATATATCTGATTAGTTTTTTTTTTTAATTTTTTTTTTCAACGTTTTATTTATTTTTGGGGGGACAGAGAGAGACAGAGCATGAACGGGGGAGGGGCAGAGAGAGAGGGAGACACAGAATTGGAAACAGGCTCCAGGCTCCGAGCCATCAGCCCAGAGCCTGACGCGGGGCTCGAACTCACGGACCGCGAGATGGTGACCTGGCTGAAGTCGGACGCTTAACCGACTGCGCCACCCAGGCGCCCCAATATATCTGATTAGTTAATATCAAAAATAAAGAACTCATATAACTCAAAAGCAATAAACCTGCCCAAATAACAAATGGGCAAAGATCCTGAACAGACATTTCTCCAAAGAACATATACAAAACACCAGTCGATACGTGAAAAGATGCTCAACATCCCTAGTTAAGGTTATCTTGCACCCCCATGTTCACAGGGGGTGCATTATTTACAATAGTCAAGATGTGGAAGCAACCTAAATGTCCATCAATGGATGAATGAATAAAGAAGTTGTGGAATGTATATATATATACACACACACACACAATGCACACATTCAATAGACTGTTATTCAGCCTTATAAAAACAAGGAAATCCTACCATTTGTGACAACATGGATAGACTCTGAATGCATTATGCTAAGTGAAATAAGTCAGAGAAAGACAAATACAGTATGATCCCACTTATATGTGAAATCTAAAAAAAAAGTTCATAGAAAGAAATCAGACTTTTCATTACCAGAGGAGGAGGGTGGGGGGAAGGGAACTGGGGGAAGGTGGTCAAAAGGTACAAACTTCTAGTTATGAATAAACACTGGGATATAATATGACTGTAGCTGACACTGTTGTATGTTATATACAAAGTTGTTAAGAGTGTAAATCCTGGAGCGCCTGGGTGGCTCAGTCAGTTAGGCATCCAACTCTTGGTTTTGGCTCAGGTCATGATCTCACGGTTCATGAGCTTGAGCCCCACATCAGGCTCTGCACTGACAGTGTGGAGCCTGCTTGAGATTCTCTCTCTCTCCCTCTCTCTGCTCCTCCCCTGCTCCCAATGTCTCTCTCAAAATAAATTAAAAAAAAAAAAGAGTGTAAATCCTAAGAGTTCTCATCACAGAATTTTTCTTTTTATTGTGTCTATGAGAAGGTGGATGTCAGCTGAACATGTTGTGGTGATCATTTCACAACACACATAATTTACACATGTAAAATCAGACCATGTACGTGTTTTGTACATTGTACATGTATACCTTAAATTTATACAAGGACGTATGTCAATTTTTTCTCAATATTTTGGAAAAAATACAGAGAGACACACATGGTCTTATTTCAAACATAGGCCAACACATGTGAATTGTAAAAAAATCTAGAAAAACCTATAATGCTAACAACTCAGAGAGAACCACTATTATTTACGTCACTATTATACACATTACTGTTATTTTGCTATTATTAACATTCCACATATAAAACTGTGTTTTATTAGGGGTGCCTGGGCGGCTCAGTCAGTTAAGTGTCTGACTCTTGGTTTCACTTAAGTCACGAATTTGTGGCTAGTAAACTTGAGCCTTGCATCGGCTCCATGCTGTCACTGTGGGGCCTGCTTCAGATTCTCTCTCTCTCTCTCTCTCTCTCTCTCTCTTTCTCTCTGGTCCTCCCCTGCTTGTACTCTTTCTCTCAAGATAAATGAACTTAAAAATTTTTTAAATATGTTTATATTTTGTTATATAATATTTATTTACTATCTATATCCCAGATTTTGTCTCATGTCATTTCCTATCTTTTATATTATTCTAGTTTTCTACATACACACATTTAAATATATGATGAGTAAAAACAGGATCAAACTGTATTGTGCTACAACTTTTTCTTCACTTAGCACTTTAGTGTTTACCTTTTTTCATGTCAATTAACTGTGTTTCTCAAAAACGATTAGTAGTTATAAGTAATTTCATCATATGGAGTTATATCAATTTAGCCAAACAATCCCTTTCAGTTGGACATTTAGGTTGTTTGTGGTATGAACAGGGCTATGATGAACAACCTGTACTTAAGTCTGTGCATGCAGAAATGCTGGGCCAGCATGCACATGTGAAACTTTCACTGGGCTTCATCTAAATTCCCTCAACCTCTCTCTTAATGAAGACCTTCCCATGTTAGGATAAAAGAAGTCAACAGAAGCAGGGACCAGATAGTAGGAATGTGGACAGGGTTGTCACTCACCTGAAGGGCTTGTTCTGATTGCGGGGAGAGGTGCTTGCCCCGTCGGCCCCTGATTCTTTCCCAGACATGTCAGGAATAGGAGAGTCCTCCATAGGGGAAATAATATTTTCCTAGAAGAACACAGAAGTGGGACAGAAAAAAAAAAAAAAAAAAGAAATGGGAGGGAGAGAGTAAGAGCTGTAATATTTCCATTTTCTTGCTCCTCCCTGACCTACAGTCAGAGTCTTCAGTCTTCACAGACCAGAAATATTCTTTCATTGCTCCCATTGCTCTGGAAGCCTTCCCAAACTGATTCCAGGAAGCTCTGATAATTTTAGAAATGCCTCTTTTGTACTGATACCAAAAGAAGACAACACAGGAGAGCAATGAGAAAACACTCAACAACAGTAAAGAGAAGAGCCAAGGTTTGTTAAGCGTTTGGAATGTATGTTAAGCATGTTGTGACAGAGGCTGCTGGCTGTCCAGCTACACTACATTTCCCAGACTTCCTTGTGGTCAGATGTGGCCATGTGACAAACTCTCTCCAGTGGAAAGCGATCAGAAAAGATAAGAGCCACAGCCAGTCATGGCCATAAACCCCATAAACCTTCCTTCACACATTCTTCCTTGCTCTTTTTCTGTGGGCTTGGAGTAGTAATCATACCCAGAATGACCTTGTGCAGAGCAGGTTTAGGGTGACAAAACCATCACAGATGGGGTCCTTGTCTGATGGGGTGGGGCTGAGATCTCTCCCCTCCCCCACCTCAGCCAACCTGGAACACGTGGCCCAGACTGTTACACGAGAGAGAAAAACACTACTGTGTTTGAGCCAGGGAGAAAACTAAGGCTCAGTGAGGTGAAAGGATGTGCCTAAGGCCAGATAGTGGGCATAAAGAAAGGGACTCTGTATCTGGGGTTTGAATCCTGCTTCTGTTTATTAGCTGCATGACTCCAAGCAAACAGTTCCTTTTTCTGAGCCTCAATCTTCTAGTATGTAACATGGAGCAAACCACTGTCCTTGCCTCAACAAAAGGATGCGTGGAAAGCCCCTTGCACAGGGGTCAGCCCTTAGCCAACATGCAGCAAAAGTAACTGTGGTATAGTGGCTACTTCTGGGAGAGGTTACAGACTGGGGGGGTGGACACAAGAGAGGCTTGTGTAGGATATTGGCAAGCTTTGTTTCTGTTAGGCTATATATACATGTGTGCTCATATATGAAAATTTACCAATTTATACATGTAATATCTCTGCACCTTTATAAATATGTGATATACTTCAAAAGAAAATAAAACATTAAAACAGAAAGCATGCATAATTCTGTCTTGAGTTAGGATGCTCACCTCCACCAGGGCCTGTAGGAGGCGCTGTGTCAGAGCACCAAATGGGCACCCATCTTCGGGCTGTTCATGCTGGGCCTCAGATTTCTTCAGCAGGGCATCCACATCTGAAGTAGACAGAGAAGTGGTACACAGGTGGGCTGAGTTCTTCTGGGAACTCAAGTCCTGGCCTGGTGTGGGCAGGAAGGCGAGAGGCCTACCTTTAGTGTCCAGTTCGGTCAGTGGCCCCATAAGGCCTTTCTTCTTGTCTGCCACGGCTGCTGCCCGGGCCCCATCCTTCTGTTCCTCCAGCAGGTCCTCCTGTGCCCAGCGTTGGGAGTAGTGCTTCCCCAAGGGTGGGATCTGGTGGGGAGATGCCACCCGGCCCAAAAAGGGTAAACACTGGCAAGCCATGCCTGGGGTTGGTAGGGGCTCTCTGCGCATTTTGGGCACTGCCAAAAAGCTCATGATTCGTTCCTTCACTTATCTGTCTCCAAGTACCTACCCCAGGGCTGAAGCCTATGCTTTGCGTAGATGGGAAGAAACAAAGGAGATAAAAATCTATATGCTCACAGTCTGGTAAGGGAGACAGGTACATAATGAACTAAGACACACACAGGGGCCAGTATGGAAAATTTCCAAGATACAGGTGCAGAATGGTATGTGTACATGGACCATCTCAAGTCACAGCTATTGTCCCTAGAAAGAACTAGGAAGCTTAGGGTCAGGAGAGGAAATTGTCTTTTGTATTACTTGAATTTATTACTGCCTATATGGACTACCTTTTCAAATAAATTTTTTTTTCAAGTAAGTTTTTTAAAAATTCAAAGAACTGACGTGCTAGAGGAAGGTCAAGGTGCTATGGCACATAAAAGAGAAATTTTCTGCAAGCAATCTGCAAAAGCATTTTGGTGGAGATAAGAGGAGATGAGTGCTTTGAAGGATGAGCTAGTTTGCCAAGGGAAAGGGAGGAGCATGTACAGAGGCCCAGAGACCAGCAAGGATCCTGTGTGGGCCTAGAGTGAGAGTAAGGTGCTTGTCGGGGCTGGTAAATGCAGCAGTGAGGAGGGGGAATGACTGAGGAAACTGGAGACGGGTGGTGGGTCTGTGTCACCAAGGACCAAACTACTTGGAATCGATCTTGTGCCAAAGAGGAGCCAGAGGAGGCCTGGGAACAGGGCTGTGTCACATCTGATCATGACAGCTGGACTATGGGAGAGTTCTCCCAAATACTTCTCTTATTTTCTACATTTTCTTTGATGGAAACTGTTTTATTTACATCATGAGAAACCTAACTTTTACATACTACAGAAAGAAAAAAAAAGTCCCTTTGGAGACAGGGAACTGTCTTGACACCACTTGGACAAAAACTGATGAAGTCTTGAATCAAAGCAGAGGGGCACCTGGGTGGCTCAGCTGGTGAAGCGTTTGACTTTAACTCAGGTCATGATCTCACCATTCCTGAGTTCAAGCTCCGACTGAGGCTCTATGCTGACAGCTCTGAGCCTGGAGTCTGCTTCAGATTCTATGTCTCCCTCTCTCTCTCTGCCCCTTCCCCACTTGCATTCTGTCTCTCTCTCTCAAAAATAAACAAACGTTAAAAAAAAAAAAGCAGAGGGGATGGAGATGTTGGTACAAAGAACAGCCTCACTGAAGGAGATCCATTAGGATGTATGTGGTGATCATTTGGAGGATATAGAGAGGAAATAATGCAAGAAGAAAACTGACAATTAGAGCCAGGGTGCCTGGGTGGGTTAATGCGTTAGATAGGAGGTTGGGCAGGGTGGGGGAAGGAAGAAGATACATGACTTTGAGATCTTTGATTTTGAGGCACTTCTCGAGTCCTCTAGTTTGTCACCATGTCTACTAAGGTCCAATCTTTCTACCTTGTAATGTTCAGCTTCATCTTCTGGTGGTTTCAGTAGTTCTTCTAGTGTGCGTACCTCCTCACTGGTAATATCAGCACAGTAGGGCTCCACCGAAGCCCAGAACCTGCAGGGAGAAGCAGATCCTGAATGGGAACCTCCTGTCCCACCAGCCTCAGTCCCAGACCCCTCCACAGCCTTTACTATTTGAATCCAAAGGCCCCTCTATGTTCTCTGGCCCGGAACCTGTTGGGCGCATCATTCTTGGGGATCCGTGGCACGTCAATTGGGTCATCAGTGAATTCATATTCCTGGATCTTGGGCTGAAGGTTTTTGGATTTGGGCCGTCCGGGGCCAGGGCCAGGCCCATGTCCCGCTTTTCCTTCCAGTTTCTGCTTCTTTGGCTTCCCATGTTTGGGGGGAGCTCCAAGCTCGTGGTCTCGACCCAGCTTCAGGAATCGGCGATCACCTTTCTTATCTTGCCAGTCAGTGAGGATCTGAAATTTACAGAGGACTGTCACTGAGAGGGAGAAAGGAAATGAGAGGACAATTCTTTCTCCTAGTGAAGAATTAGGATCTAGAACTTGAGAAGACTCCAAGGTCTTTTTATTTACCCATCTCCTGTTTAGTAAACTCCTAAGCATCCTTCAAAACTCAGCTCCTTTTCTGTGCCTGCCTCACAGAACTTTATTCATATACTTGTCATCATTCCATTCATTTGTCTGTATTGACTCACCTCTGTATCACCCAAACCACTTACAGTGTTCAGGTCAAACAAATGATCATGCCCTAGTGCATGTTAGCACTGGAATATGCTGGTGGTAACTTTCAGGGGAATGCAAACAGGCCTCCCAGCAAACCTTCACTTCAAATGTCACCACAACTGGGAAGCCTTCTCGACATCAGTTACCCAGCTTTTTAGAAGCTATAATACAACTGATTATGCCACAGCCCTGATCAAAAAGCTTCAGTGTACTCCCAGGGATCACAAGTTAACTATTCATCCTTTGAGCTCCAATTAAAAAGGCCTCTTTGTGTCTCTGACACTTTGTACCTCCACTGCAGGCCCAATTGTGTTGTTTGGTCAACCTGGAATGAACAGGATACTTTGTCTTTTCAACTAGACTATAAGCTACTGGAGACCAGAAAACTTATCTTAACTATCTCTGTTCCCCAGGATCTGGCATAGTATCTGGCCCACGGGGCTGAGGGGATATTTATGTTGTCAACAGAAATGATCAGCGTAGTACCAAATAACATTTGAAATACTCAGTGTCAGACATCAACCGATGTTTTGCAAAAGTATCTCTTTTAATCTTCACAAAAGCTCTGAGGCACCTCCTATGATTCATCCCTGTTTGCAGATTTGGAACTGATGCTCAGAGATAGGAGGCAACTGTCCCAAAATCATACAGCTAGGAAACAGCAACACTAGCAAGTGCTTAGGCCAGGATTCAAATACAGGTCTCCTCAGTCCCATTCCTTTAGTACTTCTAACCATAACCAACATCACCTGTATTTGTCTGACCTCCCTTTCCCTTTAGTTGGCAAACTCCCTGAAGACCAGAAGTGTCCTAATAATTACTTCTAATGACTAGCACCCAAAACATAATGGGGGTTCAGAGGTCAGTAAATTAGAAATCTTGAAATTTATGAGGATTGTGCACATTCTTGTGTATTCTACATGTCACCCGAGCCCAGTTTAGGCCTCTCCTCACCCCTCTAAGCTCCTGTATCTCAAGGCCTCAGCTGGTGGGGCTAACTCAATGACCCATCCCATAACTTGTCACAGTCCACCCTGGTGATATCCTCTCTGTAGGGTATCACCTGGGTTTCAGCCTCGAGAACCCGTAGGCGCCGGCTAGCAGAGGAAAGTAGGGTCTCAAGCTCCAGCTGCAGAGTGTCCAGCTCCTCAATGCCGATGCCATCATCCTCAGAGCGGGCCAGCACTGCCGTGTAGCGTGGACAAACCTTCAGGTGGTCCACAGACTTGAAGTCATGGAACTGCAAGGGGCAGTCCTTCAGTTCACTCATGGCCCAGGATACAGGACCCTGTGGAACTGGAGAGAAGAGAGCCATGGATAGGAGATAAAATGGGACAAGAAAAGTCTAAGAGCTCCCTCCCATCTAGGGACAGTTTCAAGGGGAAAGCCAGGCTTCAGTATCCTATTGACAAGGTCAATGGCACAGCTCCTACTCAGAGAGCCCTTACTGTGCATTAAGCTAAGGGCAGACGTTTTACTGGTTTCTCATCAATTCCTCACCCAACCCCATAAGCAGGGACAATGGTGACCTACACTTTACAGATAAGGAAACTCAGACTCCAAGGATTTTACCTGCCCAAGTTTACCAAGATGCAATCTGAATCCAGGTAGTTTTGAGTCTGTGTCACTAATTACCATGATATACTATGCCCTGTCTTTCTGATGCTCTTCTGTTCTCCACTTGGGTTCTGCTAAGCCCCTGAACTCCAAACATCCATTCTTACAATGTTAATGTTCTCTGTGCCTCCCAGACTCTCCTTGTCTCACCCCTTCCATCTTTGTCCCTTCTCTTTGCCCCTGACAGTGGTTAACAATGTGGGGTGGTAAGGGGTGCCTGGGTAGCTCAGTTGGTTAAGCGTCTGACTTTGATTCTGGTCATGATCTCCCGGGTCATGATCTCCCGGGTCATGGTTCAAGACCCAGGCTGGGCACTGTTCTGACAGCTTGAAGCCTGGAACCTGCCTCGGATTCTGTGTCTCCCTCTCTCTCTCTGCCCCTCCCCCTCTCGTGCTCTGTGTGTCTCCCTCAAAAATAAACATTAAGAAGTTAAAAAAAAAAAAGAATGTGGGCTGATAAACAGGACATACCTGGGTTCAAGCCCAGCCTTTTACCATTTCCTATTTACATAGCTCTGATTATGTTTTTTAATCTTCCTGAGTCTCGATTTTCCCATCTACAAAATGGGGACAAAAGAAATCGGAGTCTGTTTCCCCATAAGCAGTCTGAATTTGTAAAATGGGGATCACAATAGTACCTACCTCCCCGGGATGTTCTGAGGATTAAGAGAGGATGCTCGTCAAGAGCCCAGTTCAGTGCCTGACACAGAAGTGCGCCTGTTTAATGTCTGGCCCCTCCCGTGGGTCGCCCCAGTGACTCGCCTTCAGGGTCCCCGTCCTCCAGGGACCCCCTAACGCGGCCCCTGCCCCCTCTACCTCCTCACTGCAGCCTCCTGCAGCCTCCTACGGCCCCCAGGCCGCGGGAGGGGTTGGGGAGTTCCGGTTGGTGGGAGCAACCGCCCCGGAACTGGCTAGGGGCGGGCCCCCTGCAGAAGACGCGCGGGTGGGAGACGCGAGGGAGAGCCCAATATAGCTTGCGGGGAAGGGTTTGCAGGCCGCGAGCGAGCCCACTGCAGGTGGGATGGGGGCGGGGGTATGCCTCGGGCCTACTCTGGGGAACAGCCGGAGGCTGAGGGCGGGGCTCGGCAGCCGGGACCTTAGCCCGGCAGTTAGTTCCGCCGTGCCCCAGGGGCTGCAGGTAGGAGGGGCTCAGAGAAAAGATAGGGGCGCGGAACCGGAAGGAACGAAGAGCTCCTCTGCCTCGCCTTGTCCTAATATGGTGCCCAACCTGAGGCCGGGCTGCACCAATGCCTGACTATGGGGAAAGACAGCAAAGACGACAAGAAGGCCAAAGTCACAAGCGAGAGCTACACTCATAACGGGATAGGCTTGAGTATTGATCTGAAGCTTCAGGAGTCTAAAAATACCGAGGCAGTCCTAGCGGAGAAACTTCAAAAGGACCAAGTGCTCCTAGGCTCCCCCTTCTCCGCTCGGAGCATAGATGGTACCTTCCGGAAGTCCGGGCGGAGACTGAGGTTGCGCGTCTCGCGAAAGGGCTGGCGTCGTGGGGCTGGCCACTTCCGCACTTCCGCTTTCCGGCCCAGCCAGCGCCCGCGATGGTGAGAGAGCCGGGCCCCGGGCCAGGGACCCCCGCTGTTTTGCCTCAAAGCTCTGGGTCTGGGGGAGATGCGGTTTTGCAACGGAGAGGCCCGGGGCCGAGGGATGCTGTGGGGTGTGGGGGCGCGATGAGGCTGGGAGAAAGAGGGCGGGGCGGGAGCCAAAGTGAGGAAGGGGCGAGCGGGGGACGCTCTCGTAAGAAGCAGGCCTTGCAGCTTCATGGTCTGGCTTTTGATGCAGGTGGGGAATTGTGAGGCATGGAGGACGCCGGAAGTGGGGCTGGTGATAGCGCCTCGAAGACACGTAGTAGGCCTCACTGCCCACAGTAGGGGAGCTGAGGCATAGAGTAGGGTCACCTCCTCACCTAGAATAGAACTTCACTAAATACACTGTCCTGTTCTCTCCTGCCTGCTTGACCCACAGTTTCTCAAAGGAAGTGTCTACACTTCCGTATCCCACTCTTCTCCTTATCCCCTGCTTTGCTTCTATCTCCTCGAAGTATCTCTTATGCTGTCGCCACCCAGACCTCTTCCTGGTCAGAACTCTTAGCCTTACCGTAGTCCGTGAGCTCTGATACTACTGATCCCTCCCTTCCTGGAAATCCTCCCCTTTGATAAATGTGGGTGTTCCTGGGAGTTGAGACTGGCTCACCACCTTCCTCTTTACATTTTTCCTAGTGGTACCTATCTAGTTTCTTGGCTTTGGTGACCTTGTGTGTTCTGGTGACTCTTGAATCTGCCTTCCTCGCTCTCTTTTAAGGTTTGCCTGGAAATCTTGATAACACGTTCATAGTAGACCTCCAGATCAAGACCCATTTTTTCTCCTAAACTTGCTTTTCTTTCTGTGGTGCTGTGGCTTTGTGTCTTCTTACCTCAGCTAGAAACCTGGATTTTCTCAAAGTCAGCTTTATTGAGTTATTACATGAGAATACGTTTTATTTGTACAAGAGCAGGTGTCATGAGCCTTGCCCCTTAAAAATTATCCTTTTTAGATTTATCACTTTTGACAAACACGATCATGTAAGTACTGCGATCAAGACAGCAGAATGTTTCCTCAAAAAACTCCCTCACGTCCCTCTGTTATCAGTCCTATCTTCTCATTCCAGCACTGATTTTTTTTTTCTCCTATAGTATTCTTTTTCCATATTGTCATATAAAAGGAATTCTTCAGTGTGTGGGCTTTTTAATGTGGTTTCTTAACATAGTGCACTTGAGATTCATCTATGTTCCGTGTATCAGGAATCTTTCCTATACTATTTATTGCTGAGTAGTGTTTCCTCAAATGGGTGAACCATGGTTTGGTGGGAGGTGCTTTTTGATTCCATTATCCTCTACATCTTATGTCAGTCCAACTGTTGTGAGGACTCTCTGCTTGTCCTGTCCACCGCCCCAGTCCAGGTTCTCATCACTGCTCCTTGAATAACCCTCTTTGCCTTTTGTCTCACTTCCCTCTCCAGTCCATTCTCTGCAGAGCCCCCATGCAACTGTAGTCATGTAACTTCCTCCTCAGAAAGCCCCAACAGTTCCTTACTACCTAAAAGAAAGGCTAAGCTCAACAGTCTGGCATTTGAAATTAGCCATGAATCTCTAGGCTACCATTGCAGCCTCATCTGCTGAACCTAAAATGCTTCCCCTAGGGGCACCTGGGTGACTTAGTAGGTTAAGCATCTCTTGATCTCAGCTTAGGTCTTGATCTTAGGGTTGTAAGTTCAAGCACCACGTTGGGCTTCATGCTGGGCCTAAAGCCTACTTAGTTAAAAAGGAAAAAAATGCTTCCTGTATACAGCAACACTGTACTCATCGCTACTTCTGGAACTCTTAATGCCCTTTTGTGTTATTTTAACCTTGTTTATGCTATTTCCATAATATTGTTTAGAAAAGGAGTAGCACTGCATTTGTTAGGTACTGAGCAAGGTGCAAGGAATATAGATTTCAGTAAAGGAGACCAGGAAGCTTAAAGTCTAGTGAAGAAGAAATCACCTTATTAAATAAGTATAAAAGATGTGTCATTGTAGATTACAATAAATGCTATCAAGAGGGAAGTCACGATGGGGCGCCTGGGTGGCGCAGTCGGTTAAGCGTCCGACTTCAGCCAGGTCACGATCTCGCAGTCCGTGAGTTCGAGCCCCGCGTCGGGCTCTGGGCTGATGGCTCAGAGCCTGGAGCCTGTTTCCGATTCTGTGTCTCCCTCTCTCTCTGCCCCTCCCCCGTTCATGCTCTGTCTCTCTCTGTCCCAAAAATAAATAAACGTTGAAAAAAAAAAAATTTAAAAAAAAAATAAAAAAAAAAAAAGAGGGAAGTCACGAAAGGCCTCTGTAAAGAAGGAAGAGGCCTTCCCTAAATAAGCCAAGATCTAAGGGCTGACGTAGGTCGAGAGGGGACAAAAAGCCTGCAGGTAGATGGATCAGCCTGTGTAAAGCCCTGAGGTGAGAAAGAACTTAGCTAATAATAAGAAACTGAAGATAGGCCAGTGTAGGTAGAAGCTGATCCCTCTAATGGGAATGTCCTTAGTCTACTTTTCCTTGTTGTAAAATCATTCTGATCCTATTTTCATCTTCACGTCCAAACCAGTTTCTTCTGGAAATGTAATTTGTAAGTCTAATTATGTCACATTTCATCCTCCTTTATATCATAGTCACTTTTTCTGTCTCCTCTACCCAGTGGAGCTATTTAAAGGTAGAGATTGTCTTTATGTTTTATTTTTTCCCCCACCCTTAAAGGTAGAGGTGGTCTTTAAATTCTTAGCATCTGGATCAGTGCCTGGCACACAGTAAACATCCATTGTTGGCTCAAAAGACAGATTGAGAATAGTCCTTCACCTGCATGCCTCTCAACCAGAGTTTCTCAACCTCAGCACTGTTTGGAGTTGAATAATTCTTTTTTGTGCATTGTAGGATGTTTAGCAGTATGCCTGGTCTCTACTCATTGCCAGTAGCTCTCCCACTCCACCCCCAGTCCTGTCAGTGAAAAATGTCCTGACATTGCTGAATGTCTCCTGGCAAGAAAAATGGTTCCCTGTTGAGAACCACTGCTCTAGACTTAGAATGAAATGCACCTTGAAGGCTTACTCTGTTTGGTTCATGTGGTCTGAAAGGCAGGTACTGTCAGTACCGTCTGGCTCCTTTGTAGCTAGTGTGGGGCGGGGTGGGGGGGGCGGTGGCAGTGGGTTTGCAGAGACAGACTCTGATCCTCCCTTTGGTTTTTTCTTACAGACTGCCACTCTCCGCCCCTACCTGAGTGCCGTGCGGGCCACGCTGCAGGCTGCCCTCTGCCTGGAGAATTTCTCCTCCCAGGTTGTGGAACGACACAACAAGCCCGAGGTGGAAGTCAGGTAGGGCAGAGAAAGGTCAGGGTGGGGATGATGGACTCAGCCCCAGAGATGGCAGTTGTCTGGAGGCTACCACAAAGTTGCATCCTGGAGTTGGAGACAGCTACACTTCTGCAGTTCACTTATTTTGTCTTGTTGCCAGATGAACAATGGTTCCCAATTCACAGTTCGGAAAATAGGGTCAGTGGGTTGGCAGGACAAAACCCAGGGGAGAAACTCCTCTGGAACCAAGATTGCTTGGCACAAGGTGTGAGTTCTCAGAGTGGGGCTGTTGGTCAAGTATCTCCTGTGGCATTACTGAACCCAGTTTAAGGAGAGGGTGGAGAATTTTGTTATCCAAGATCCCATCTCCATTCTTTTGTAATTTAAAGTTCAAGGGCTGTGTTTCCCTGCCTCCCTGGACTCATCATTTATTTCAGATATTCCGTATTTTGGGTTATTTTCTCTTATCTGATTTATGTTTTATTAAATATTCTGTTTCCCTTTAAAGTTTAATCTGAGACATAACTGAGATAAGCAGTGTTACCACACCAAGTTGAAATGAATTGAATTTAAAAATACTGAAAACATATTAGCATGCGTCATGTTGTTTTACTTAAAATATGTTTTCCACTAGGCATTTTAATTGCCAGTACACATAACTGTAGATTCAGAGGCATCAAAATGGGAACTGAGCTGAGAGGGGTCTTGATGCCAAATAAGTGAATCATTCGTGAATTGATAAAGGAGACCAAACTGTGTTTTGTTTTTAGCTTGCCCTTTTATCCCTAAGGTAGCCTCTCTCTTCTCATTCCCTAAATGGTGTATGGGTTTGCCTGTAGTTATTAAAATAAG